TGCCTTAAAAACATTTAGTCATTCAAAGATGCAGCAGTGTCGTTCTTTTGCATCCCTGTGACTACAGGGAGACAGCAGAGGCTTATCCACGGGGCACATAAAGGGACAGAATAGAAAGCGATTAGTCGTGAATAAAAGAATGAATGCATTGGTTTCAGACCTTAATTAATTGTGATTAACTAGTTATGGCTGACAGCTCTAATTACTTCTTTGAAATCAGGTCAACAGGAAACAAGTCCCACTGTTCATTATACTAGGAAACCCTGCGGTGGGGTCTACATGCTGCCACCTCTCCAGCGGACACAGGAGGACATTACACCTGCCACAGAAAGACCAACAGACCCAGTCGTTCCAGGTAGTCACACCACCTCAAACACATGTTAAAGGCGCAAGACTATCAGTTATTCATTTAAAAAATATATTTTTGTTTTTTTTCTCTCTTGTGGGCAAGTGGACAGTCTGGGTCAAATGGCAGCTGTCACTCAGTGTCCATCGTGTCAGGAGGTCGTCTTCACAGAAACCCATGAAAAAATTGGAGAGGCTGTGTGGACGCTTTCCTGCTTCTGCATCATGTTTGGGTACATCTCAACTCAATTTAAAGATTTTGACAATGCCTGACTGCTTTCTAAAGAGTGGTCTTAAAGGATTAGCTTGTTATTTCTTTAACTACAGTTATTCTGTTTTTTGCTCAGAGTCTCATGTCTGCACTACAGATGCACTTTCATAATGGCTGGAAGCAGGATAAAAAAAAGCTAGCCTGGTTTTGTATGCTAAGAAACTGCATGTAAAGTTCAGTAAAACAGGACATATCTTTTTGAGTTTCTATTTTCAAAAGGATTAAAAATAACCTAATTCTGGTTTATGTTGGATCAGTACTTTTTGACACTTACTGAGCTGTTTTCCTTATTTCCAGTCTTTATGCTAAAATATGCTAATTATCTTTGGGTTTTAGTTTAGTAGCCAACAGACAGCTACTGTATGAGAGACGTAGGCTATTATTGTTGAAACTCCTGGCAAGAAGGTCAATACATGGATTAAAGTGTTGATTTAGATTAAGATTAAGGAACTTGTTTTTATTTATTAGCTACTCTTACTGATGAGTTTTTCTGTTATAAGAACATGTAATATGTTAAAGTGCTAATTTGACTTTTAATAAGTTCTTTAATTACTTTATATGGATCTAAGAAACTAAACTAGTAGTGCGCCAATATGGCAGACATACGTTATTAGCTTCACAATGCTACCAGTTGTAACATATATTTACAAATACTAACATTTGGAGCTAAAAACTTTTTTTTATGAAGGTAGACACCCTCCATTATTCAGTTCAATACACTTAGAGATTTTGCTTTTAAAACCTTACTTGGGTAGGCTATATCCAGTAGTTAAAGCTAGCACGAGGCTAACTAATGTTTGCTAACTTTAGCTCTATTGCTGTGAAGTGGCATGATAAGGCTTTACAGACCTGTAAAACCAGTATTAATCTGAGTGATTATTTATTTATGTCACAAAACTGGCAAGGCTTGCTGATTCATAGAGAAGTTTTCTGTTATTGGGAGGAAGTCACCTGTTGGATCATCTGAGTTATTTGCATGGTCAACCGAGAGAGACGGTTGTGTTCCAGTGACATTTCAAGAGGAGAGACCACTAGCAACAATGTAATACTCCAAATCACATAGCATAGCATTTGATAAACATACACTAGGAATTATGAGCAGCCTATAAAAAAAAAACTATTGGTATCAGAAATGGCAATCAGTTAGGCTAAATGGTGATTCTGAAAATCGGTATTGCCCTGATTATAACTATTGGTGCACCTTTTTAAAACAAACGTTGTGGAGAGGCAGTTTTTGTTGCTTAGATTAACCCTGACCTTACTTTCTGTAACAGGCCAGATCTCTTACTTCATTCCTCCCTTCCTTTTACAGGTGTATCGCAGGCTGCTGCTTGATCCCTTTCTTCATGAAACGTCTGAGGAACATCCCCCACAAGTGTCCAAACTGTCAGGCACACATACACACCTACCGGCCAATCTGAAAAAGAGGTTAAAGTTTCATCAGGCTGAATCTGACTTGGACAGTAACATGTCATGTCTTCTATACAGGAGGGACTGTTTCCTGTGGAACAATGTTCATATTTGCTTTCCATCTGGATGAGAACTTGTTTTACTAGTTGACTTTTTCTTGGCTCAACTGATGATGTACATTTGCCTGGAGGTGACTAACAGCACTGATATGAACTGCATAAAGGTTCAAGTATATTTATTTAAACATGGCTCTATGACTGCCATGATTTTGTCATGTCGCTGTTATGACTCGCTGTGAAAGACAGCCTCAGTTTTACCTGCGAGACATCTGATTATCACAGACTTCATGTGAGCATTCACCTCGACTGTTATGAAAACACCGCTCACTACAATAATAAGTTGTGAGGCTGCGTCAGAGCACTGGTGCCCACATTTAAAGCAGCCTCTTTGCTGCTGATGTCAGAATACATCTGTGGTTTGTCTGTGGGAGGGAGGAAAATGTTTGACTACATCCATGACAGGAATATGGAAATACACCCGAGGCATTATGCAAACACTCACCTCTAAACAATCAAGTCCACCATAGAAGACTGTCATCCAAAACCTGGTCCAATGTGTGATGGCTTTTCTCTTTGCTCTTCTCTCCTCCACCACTGTAAACAAAGCTATTTCACACTTAACGATGTGAATTATTTTGGTATTCACTTCTACGACAGGTATTCACAGTACACCATTTTATTATTGACACATAAAGGCATACAGTACTTATATACATCTTTTGGAATATTTACAAAATAGAGAACCCATGGATGTTACACATGTATAAAAATATGCATTACATCTATATAAATATGTACACAATGTGCAAAACAAATGGCATACAAACAACAAGAGGCGTGGCATGGGTGGTGGAGATACAGAGGATGGTGTCCTTCCAATAATGTCCTGTGAATTTCAGTTTTAAGAATAAAAACGTAGTTCTGTTCTGTGGTCCAGCTTCTCCACCTGAAGATGTTCAATGTTCACATTATGTTGAACAAGGGAATGAAGACAAGCAGACGAGCTGATATGGGAAAGCCTGAGCCAACACCTTTTACCTCCATTTGGTACAAAGAAAAGAAGCTGACAGGAACCTTTAGACTGACAGTGTTTCCAAAAAAAACCAACCTCTAACATCACGGGGGTTATGCAAAATAAACCACAACTTAACCACTCACATGTAAGTGCTTCTGAACTTTTTTTTTCTTTATCTATTACTCTGAACTAAAGGTTCTCATAATAATGAAACCAAGGCAGGATCTGACATACAGTACAGTACATCAAGGGAGAGCAGCCATTATTGCTTTTTGCTGTCCCTGTCAATGTTAAGTGGTGTCACATTGAGCCCCGTTGAGCCACATTGTGTAGAGAGACTGCAGCCCAGAGGTTTGAGTATGTCTGATATGGAAAATAACATGAAAAAAAGAAAAAATGCAAACCAAAAATATACACATGAAATCTTCTTCTTCAGATATTACATAAGCAGAACATGAGTATTTTTTTCTCTTTTGTTTTACACCCTTAAAAAAACTGATAATTTTTTTTTAAAGTGAGAAATTAACTCAATGTGATATTACGCCCCGATGCCTTTTTTTTGGTAATTCAGTATCAAATTTGATATCCTCAAAACTTCAAAGAATCCAGAATTTAAAAAAACCCACAATAACTCGTCAGCTGTTCCTGGATGCACATGAACAGCTCTTTCTATATCAGACTCAACACTTAAAAACCAAATGAAATACAAGTGAACCCTGCAGGCAGCTTTTTAGTGGGGTTCAGGGTCCTTGCAACTAAAACCAAAGGAGCACGAACCAGAAGGCGAGGACGAATGAGGTCGTGTCTGAACAGAGCTTTGACGAGGAAAAAGAAAGAAAAGAAAAACAACACCAAAATGCAAGTGTGTGCAGTATTTGGAGTTCAACTTGGCCTGATCTAATGATAAAACAGCACCGGCATTAAGGGCTCTCGGGTCAACAAGTTATTGCTGATGTGAGCATAAAATCAGCGTCAAAAAAATAAAAAGTATGAGATTTTTTTTTCTGCTTGAAGTGACCCTGAGGTGAGCATGTGTTGCCTGTGAAAATGGGTAGGGGAGCTGCACAAGAAACAAGGCAGTGCCCTCTAGTGCCTATGGATGAAATGACAGGGTAAAGTGGTTTTAATGTAATGATCATTTGATTTAAAAAAAAATGTTTTATCGAAGTGCCTTACAGATAAACTGCATCAACCCTAATGGAATATGATCCATACTGAATCAGGAAGTCAACATTTAGCTTTGAAAGAAACAGTGAGCAGGATATGATGCAATCAGTTAAAAGTAGCTAAGCCCTCTTCACTGACGGCCCCGCTGTGCGTCTCTCCTCAGAGGTGTCTGTGCGTGTTTTTTTTGGACTGGAGGACACCAACTGAACAACAGAGACGAAGCAGAAACAGTCATCAGAAGCCGATTGATTAGTAGAGTTTTGGAATATGTCGGATCTGTAATAAAAAGATTTGATGTTAGAGATATCTGCACATTTTCTTCAGACGACTTTCAGGCGACGCAGCCCGAGATTAAACATGAATACAATCATGCACAGAGACACAGGTGAACATGCAAGAGACAGGAAGACAAACACACACACACACACAAATCAACATGCTTTCTTGCTTAACTTCCTCCCTGGTCGGGAAACAACGTCGTCTAGACGCATCACAAGTCAGACTGTTTCACCGACCGAGTGTTGGATTATTTTGATTCCTCCACATGATGGCTAGACGCTGTTAAAGCAGTTTGACTTATAAGCAACAGAGCAACAGGTAGTTATTAGCTAGCACATTAGTTGGCTAGTGGTGTAGTAATTTGCAAGACAGACAGACAGACAGACAGACAGACAGACAGACAGACAGACAGACAGACAGACAGACAGACAGACAGACAGACAGACAGACAGACACACACACACACACACACACACACACACACACACACACACACACACACACACACACACACACACACACACACAGTAGGACAGCTCCATATAAAGCTCCAAAGACATCTTGATTCCTTGATATAATTTGCAGCACACACACACACACACACTTCACCCCTTTTTCCTATACGTGTCTGCTTGTGTTATAAATTGATATATGTTCCCTTTACAACATTTTATGTCAGTTTACTGTCAGGAGAAAAAAAACAGCTGCCAACTTTTACATGTCCTTTTTTGTTTTTCATCTTCTTCAATCTTTTAAAAACTACATTCAAAGTTTGATTCTTGGACAACAACTGCATTATCTCTCCGGAGCATTTGGCCGTGTGATCTTTGAAACAGATCACTTCATATGAGCAAACACCTTGTTTTATGCAAAGTTCACATTTCCTTGTTCTGAGGTGGATGAGGCGCCTTTTTTTTATTTTTTTAGTGCATAGCTCTCACGTGAGGCGGAGGAGCTCGCTCCTCTCGTCGCCCGACTGAAGTCGAGTGTTTTTGTTCTTTACAGTCATTGGTTCATCGGCTTGACCAGCCGGGTCGTGTTGGGTCAGAAGAAAACAGTCACATCTGATACAACACATCAGATTAGTCAGCAAACATGTCGTCTATCATCATCAGAATGTTTAGAGTGGACCAGTGAGAAAAGAGGCTTCACCTCCTCTCAGCTGGGGGTCGCTTTAAAAATTGGCTGACTCGTGCGTTAGACTTAAAGGGAACTTAAACATTTGATTTGTCCAGCACCAAGACAGGATAGAGCATCCCAGACCCCCAGTCAGTCTAAGACTTCCCAGTGGTCAGGATCAGAACCTGTAGTGATAAAACGTAGCTGTCCAAGGCCAGCTTCAAACGTGTAATAAAGAGGACCTAATGTCCTAGAATTATTCAATCTAACTGGGTTTCTTCTGCACTCTTGTCACACAGTCATTGTGCTTTGACGTAGCTTTGATATGCCGAATGGCACAGTGTGCTTCAGCAGAACAGACGGCTTCATGTCTGGATAACTCCAGAAGTTTTTAGGGAACACTTTCAAATGCTGCTACTGTGCTCACAGAGTAAAACAGACACAGTGTTCAAACTGAAAGCCAGCCGGGCAAAAGACTTCCAGCAGAAACAGTCAGGAAAATATCAGCCATTGATTCTATTCTGGCTCACTGTCCCGAGACAAAGTTCAGGTGTATTGAGCTTTGTTTGCAAATTGCACAAAACAGCCCCCTTGTATTTTTCTAACAGAAAGTCTAAATGAGCTGATGTGGGAACGCTGCTGGAGAATTCACCTCGAGGGAGTGGTGACGTTTATTCCCTGCGATCAGTGCTCGACCAGACTGCCTGCATGCGACCGGTATGCGCGTAATTAAACGGCTGCATTATTGTTTCTGATCTCCAGTATGTTCTTCTTTGCTCTTTTGTTGATATTGTGATTCTTAGAACTACACGTACTGTAGCATAGATATGAAGGCAAATCATTTCATTATAGCAGTGTGTAGCGGACTCTGTTGCTTCTGGGTCTTCTTTTCCCCCCCTCGCGTCTGAGACAGTGTCCCGAAGTTTTTGGGGAGTGCATATGTGAAAACGGCCCTTAGTGTGGGTTAAAGTGTATTTACAAACAGTCCATGCTACCAGTGATATTTGGCTCTGTCTTCTTATATCTGCAAATCATCCTTAAAATCACGTTTAAAATCCCGTGAGTGACGTCAGGAGACCTCTTTTTAAAGCTGTGCAAACTCCTGCTCGTAGTTTCACTTAAGTGCACTGCCTGTACAGCACTTCTTATTGTAGTAAAGTGGGAATTTTACAGGTGGTATGGATGGTCTGTGCAGAGAGAGATGGTACAGGAATGCCACTTTTCCTCCTTATTTTGCTTTCTTTCTTTCTTTCTTTTTTTGCTTGAAACCATTTCATCTTTGCAGTCTCCTTTTTCTCCTCCTTTCTTGTTATCCATCCATAAATCCTTTCTGTGGCTCTGCAACTCCTTTCTCTGGATCTTTTCTTTCAGCCGTCCCCCCGTCAGTCCCAGTGCAGCTGCAGGTCGTGTGAATCCAGGAAGTCCGTAGGTATCCCGAGTGGTGTGAGCGCCCCAGCTGGACCCGGTGGCATGGTGAGGTCCAGCCACTCCATGTTGTCCAGGCCGGGGTCCGTCAGTCCCATGTTGAGGGAGGAGGGCGGCGAGGAGGAGTCGCAGAAAGACAGATCTGACGTGTCCATTGGCGAGTAGGGCTGCTGCTCCATCAGCTGTGCCTGCAGCTCCAGCATTAGGCCCTGCGTGCGCGGGTCTGATGATGCCGTGGTGTCGGCCAGTGTGCGCTCCAGGAAGGCCTCCAGCTGGTTGTCTGAGGCCAGTGAGGAGAGGCTGGGCATGTTCTGACCAATGACGGGGCTCAGGGTCGGGGGAGGGGCCAGCTGGATCTGCGGAGGTGGCCTGGAGATGGCGGTGCTGACGGGCAGGGTGGTGATGTTCGCTGTGACTGGGTGGGTCTTAGTGAGAGACACTGAGGGGTCATGCTGGATGAATGGAGTGATCTCTGCAAAAGGACAACAGGGAATTAAAAAATGTAGATTATTATGAGGGTTCCACCAATGAGAGTTTCTTTGAATGAAATAACTGAAACTAAATTCTCACAGGAAAAGTGGTTTTTTCCAGGCAGAAAAGCGCTGACTGTGCGCTCCGGAGTGCTAGCATGAAGCGTTTGTGCAGCGAGATGAAAAGCACTGCAAGTCCATCCTGTCTCTAAGACAACAGTCTGTTAACAACGGCCGCTCTTTGACCGACACTGCTCCGTTACTTTGCACTGCATGTTTTTTATTTTAGATTATTTATTTCCTGATCAGACACGGAGCAAAGAGGATGTGAGTACAAGACACGATCCATAGGCGGCTAAAATACAAAAAATATTATACATTTAGAAAAGGGGCGCCGGTGATGTCAACAGCAACCCTGAAAAGATGAAAGATTTTCAACTTGAAAATTTGGAGCGGCCGCACAAAAAGGCAGAGAGCTGGACGAAAAGACGCTGGGCTCTGCACTTTTTCTCCAGGCAGCTGCTTTCTGCTGAGAACGCTCTCTACTCATTGAAAACAATTGAAAAAAGATGCTGGTGCTCCAAAAAAAAAAAAACACTAGGTGGACACGGGGCTTTATGTCAACATTATGACCATCAATCAATGATTCTGTGCTAAACAGTTTAACAGTTAATCCTTTACTTTATATTTTATACACATCCACAAATTAATTTACTATTTGAACCATTTGTACGGTTTGCACACACTTGTGAATGAAGACACATTAAGCACAGTATATTTACTGTATTGTTGTTCCTTCTCATTCAGTTTCTTTAAACTACTTTTAGACGCCTCTGATAGGCTGAGATAAGTTATAATCTCTAGTACTGATGTACCAAAGAGAAACCACTGCTGCAGCATTTTCCTGAGACTACATTGATTCATGCTTGTTCTGTCGGTGTATGACTCCTTACCTCCACTCTCTATGAGAATGTCGAACAAATCATCCATTTGCTGGCTGGTTGCCGTGGGAACCTGAAAAGACAGTCAAAAAAAGGTTAAGAAACCATAGAAAGAAAAAAAACAAATCCTCAAGGCTGGAAGACTCAAAAATAGATTAATAGCTTTCAACACTTTTTTAATATTCTGAAGGATAATGTAGCTGAGTGTGTGTGTGTGTGTGTGTGTTGAGCTGCGGCTGGTGCATTTCTAACCTGTGAAACGTTGTTGACGTGCATGTTGCGGCTCTGTTTGACAGCCTCCTCATAGCGAGGAGGCTCTTTTGTTTTCGGAGGCTGAGAAACCAGGGAGGTGGGCTGAAGGATGAAGGTAGACTGAGGAGAGGATGACTGTGAGAATAAAAGAGAGAGCAAAAAAACAGGCAGAACTCAGAATCCTCTGTAAGAAGCAAACACTATTGAGTTCATAAAATGTCCCCAAATAAAAAAAGCTAGCTTTAACCCTCCAGTAATAACTCTGCACTGATACCTTATTGAATGGTCCGTTGGAGATGTGGTGGTTGGGTGAAGCCCGAGGAGAGACCCTGCTCTCCGGGGAACTTCTCAGGAAACACTGGGGATTCATATCAGGCCTAGTCTGGTTCTCCAAACCCGACGTGTTATTGCACATAGTCAGAGTCTGTGAGGACACCAGACAGAGTCTCACATCAGTTCATCATGTATAATGGGAATGACATCATCGGAGACAAAAACAATGTGGGCTTTTTATTTTTAACAGGAGGAAGTGAAAGTAGAGCAAATAGGACATAATTTACTAACACACACTTCTGTCAATCTCTCAGTCGGAGTTCTAGGAGTGAGAGGAGATGAGCCTCATGTCTTGTCAATGTTGACATTTTCTTTTATGTTGAGGTTATTTTTAAAAGCAAAATAGATGTTGTGAGAAATTGGACAGTTTCACCTCATTTCTGACATTCTGCCGTCCAACACATTGACTATCAATCCAGAAATAAAACAACATATTCATTGACAGTAAAATAAAATGATATCACCGTCGTTTTAGCAAGGACATTATGTGTTGTGACTGACCTGCATCAGTGGGTTGCGGTTGTTCATGTGCTTGTTGGGTGTCGTCTCCATGTTAGTGGTTCTCAGTTGAGGAACTGAAGTCTGGACCAGGCCTGGATTGGAGACTGTGGCTTGAAGAACCGGCTGAGGGATGAGTGATGGGTCGTTAGGAGTTGATTATTTATAAAAAAATGTGTTTACATCCAGCTTTTATAACAACACAACATAACGTATCTGTCTGTTTTATTTAGCGTACCTGCAGGCTAACAGTGTTGTTTGGCAGCTGGATCGCAGTAGTGTTGTTGGGTAGTGAGACTGGGAGGAGGATCTGGGTTCCAGCCTGGCCTGTGGTCAACAAGGTCTGAGGCTGACCCAGCACCTGGGACACGCGGCCTGTGTGGCTGATGAAGAACTGCTGCAGGCTGGGGGCTGCAGGCTGGGACTGGGGTTTGGGGCTTCTCTGTGACTGGGGGAGTATCTGAGGGCTGGTGGTCACTTGGGACTGGGCTTGTGGCTGGATTTGGGCGATGAGCTGGGTTTGGGGCTGAAGTTGGATCGGCTTGCCGGAGGACACAGTCACATCCTCCAACTTGACCACAGTTGGCAGAGGGGAGAGAGATTGGGAGCCCAGGATGGAGTTTGGGATTGAAGCTGTGGTGGAGGAACAGTTTGATAGGACTGTACCCTCCAGTTTTACTACGTTTGAGTTCAGAAGAGCAGGACCAGGGGTCATGGTAGGTACAGTGGTGAGTATGGGAGACAGAGATGCACAGTCTGTGGTGCCTGTCCTCTTCTCCACCTCCAGCTGCATCTTCAGCTCCTCCACCAGCCTCTGCTCCTGCTCTAGCTTCCTCATCAGCTCCTCTATCTGCCGCTCCTTCTCATGGAGCCTCCTGTCCTTCTCCTCCGGGACTCGGAAAGAGTGGAGAGGTGAGGAGCTTGGATCTGCCCAGCCGGCGCTCATCGGAGTCTCGGTGGGTCCCTCCGACATGCCTCCATCCTGCTGCAGGGTGGAGCGATCAGTGGGATTGGGTGAGACCGGCGGTGTGGATTTAACACTCCCTGCAGCTACCTGCTGGATTGGAAGGATTATAGTAGGGGCGGTGTTGGTGGAGGTGACCTCCATGGGCATGGAGGAGAGGGTGGTCGTGGAAGGGGCAGTGATGGTGGAAGGAGCAGAGATGCTGGTGTTGTCCTGGAAAGGCTTCAGTCTTTCTATCAGATCAGTCTTTGTTCCTGACACGGGGAGACCGCGCAGCTTCAGCTCCAGTTTCAGCTCCGCCACCTAGACAAATAAAAACATCATCACATCATTTATTTAATCAACAAAAAATTCAAACATTGTCCTTTTGTTGTTGAAAGTTTTAGAGCTGCGTCGGTCACAGAAGTTTGTCAGTAGAATCACATTTGGCTTTAACTATTTGTTCCTTCTTTTTTTTTCTATTGATACTGACTGTTCAAGTTGGAGTTGAAGTTGATGATTTGATTTGTTGACCTTTTTTGGGGAGGCCCTACATGTACGATCAGACAATGAAACCCCTTTCATGTCTGTTGGTTGAATATATTACACTACAACCAGCTGAAATTAGCTCAGCACAAAAACTGGAAAAATGGGGATACAGATAACCTGGCTCTGTGCACGGTAAAACACAAAATAAAACATGTCAAAACATCAATGATTGTGAGCGCTGCGTGGGTCCTCAATCAAGTTAACCAGCAAACAGGTGGAATGACACAAGGAAAGGCTAGATGTGTTTATCAGTTGAGTGAAAAAGTCCTCTGAAGAGTTCAGAAGGTAAACACAAACAGTTAAAAACGTGTGGCAGACTGACATGTTTCAGTTCATCGGCCCCTTCACCCTGAACCCACTTTACTCTTCACAGGACTTTTTTCACTCAACTGATAAACAGCCTATTGTTTTCAGTTGAAAACAACCATTTTAAAATACAAAAGATGTTAGTAAAAGTGGTAAAATATTCAAGATAAAACAAAGGTAATCAGAGTTTATCAAAGCTAAAATAAAGAGGAAAAAAATAATTATTCAAACTTGTTCAATAAAAAGCCAAACCCCTCTCAGATCTTGTGAGGATCAGTCATGTTTCTATGGAAATGTTCCTGTTGTATCTGTGAGATGTCTTCATACAGCTGATTAAAATCCCCCTTTAGCCTACATTCACACACACTTTCATTTCTTCTCTCTCTCAGCGTGCTGATCCATGCAAAGTGTTTGCCGGTGCACGTTGGTTTCCAAAATACCTTCATCTCCTCCAGGTTGGCAGGCAGGACCCCCAGCCTGCGGTTGGAGAGCGAGTTGTTTGGACGAGCCACGGGGGGAGGTTGAGGTGCAGCGGGCAGAGACACCATGATGGAGGTTGGCAGGGTGCTGCCATTGCTGCTCTGCCCCTCCGCCACAGATCTACAGAGGGGGAAGAAAAAAAAACAATGAGGTCATAACTTCAGGAAATGATCTACACAATGGATAAACAGGAAACAGAAAGAGGGGGAAGAGGAGGGGGGAAGGTAGACAAAGAAGATACTGTTGAAGAGAGAGAGAAATGAGAAAGACAGGAAAGAAAAAACGGAAATCTGTTGCTCATATGAGCAGAGCATCCATCCTGCGCCTACACCAAACAACAGAGCGCCAGCACAGTTTAAAGGCAGCTTGTCCATGCTGCTGCTGTGAGGACATTAAGAACGACAGCAGCAGGTGAAACAACATCCTGTTACTTATTCATATCATTAGTTGCAGACGAGCTATTGGAGACAATCAAATGGGTCGTTGAAAACAACATTTGGATTGCTTTCAGGGCATTTTTCAGATTAACTCTTTGGGAGAGAGGCCAAACCATTTGAAAGGGAAAATATGTTGGTGTGCTTTTTTTAAAGAAAATACTGTAGTGGTACAGACAAAGAGGGGAAACAATTCAACACCATTATTAAGGCGTTTGATTGGCAATGGACAAAAAAAAAAAAAGCAGAGAGAAGGGCGCAGCGTGCATCGAAGATTAAGCAGCACAAATATATAACTCATAATTTAGATGCTAGTGTGACCACAGCTGCATTTATGGGTTTTCTGCATCATTTTTGATATTTTGTCATCTTGGTGTCTTTTGTTTCTCTTAGATGTAACCTCTTTATTTTTGCATCTGGTACAGGCTCACATCAAGAATACATCCATATATCTTTCTTCATTTACAAAGTACTGGACTGTTCTGGGGAAATCTAAATAGATTGCAAAAATAACAAAACAAAACAAAAAATAGGTTGAAGCCTTTTCCAGAATTGAAGTACTGTACGGCAGCAGAACGGAGAGTTAACGGAGAAAGTTTAACTGACAGACAAGGTGCATCCCTGTTGTCATAGTAACTCACTTAGGCCAGCCTGCATGGAAACAGTGTGAGAAGACAGATGAGTCGCTCTGCTGCCAGCTGTTTATAACCCGATCAATATGAATGGAAATAAATCACAATGTCATTATTTAGTTATGCATGGCAGTTTTGTTTTTTTAAATCAGGAAACAATAACTGAGGTGCTTGACCTCTGTAGCATCATAGCAGACAGCTGCCTGTAACTGACACATAATATTATCCTTCAACACATCTGTGTTATTAGCCGCCTGCTAATGGAGACTTCCTACGGTACTTTGGAGTATGTTCGCAGCATGGTTAACAATCAACAAATGGAAAGATGGCACACAGCCGTCCTTTTTCAAATCAGCATATTAAGTTCCAGCTAAACATCGTCTAACATCCATATGGATAATTAACGTCTCATGGGTCAGCGTTTCAGGTCAGAAAATCTGAAGCTCTGGCTAATTCTGGAAGAATCACATCCCTGATTGATATTTATTTTTAGTTGTGATGTGTGATACACGTACTTGAGGGGTGCAGGTAGTATGGTCTGGTAGTTGTAGTGCTGCTGTTGCTGGCTGAGGATCTGCAGCTGGAGGAACAGCTGCTGCTGTTGCAGTAGTCGGGCGTAAGAGGAGTCCATGGGGACTTCACTGGGCTCCTGCTTCTGGTCTGGGGGAACATACTGGTGGTACTTGAGCTTTTTCACCCGGGATTTGGGCTCTTTGTTCTTCTTACTGCGGCTCTTCTCTGAGGGAGTCTTCTGCTGGCTTTGCTGTAGCATGAGGAAACAGACAACATACAGGTTTGTCTAGCGGTTCATACAGACAGAGGTGATGTTAGAGAAGTGGGCGGAAAAAAAGTGCCCTTACTTTCACCAGTGTCGGGCCTGGCTTTGAGGAAGCGGCTGTTGTGATAGCTGGGCGGCTGGAAGACAGCTCATTGATGGAGACCACCTTCACAAAGTCAGCTGCTGTTTGTGGAGAAACTGGGAATGCCTGAAGAAAATGACACAAAAATGACACTCATGCCTGAAATGCAAACTCTGAACTTATGTGAGGCCCAAGTTTTAGGGGCGAGCATGCATGAAGACAAGTGGTGCTAGCCCTGTGTCTGACCTGCAGCACGGTGTTGTGTAGGGGTGGAGGAGGAGGAGGAGGTGCTAGGACTGGAGAGGGTGTTTCTGGCACTCTGCTCTCCGCAGGAGAGGGGATGGAGCTCTGAGACTCCTGGCTGGCTGGCTGCTCTGGAGACAAGGCCTCGCTGCTGTCTTCATCCAGGACTTTGGGATAATTCACCTGGCCTACTAGGAGAAAAAAGCCAGTACTTTATCATCATCTCTCCCCTGCATGGCCACTAAGTCAAATGCTTCTCCCTGAAGGCAGTAGTCATTTTTTATCATCACTGGCTCTCACCGATGATGGCCTGTTTTACGCTGGAATCAACCGGCAGGATGTTTTTCTCGACCAGCTCCATGGGGCCGGGTCTCTGGGCGATCTTCTCGTTCAGGTTGTCGGCCAGTCGGGCTCGCTTCAGTCTCATCTGGGTGGCCTGAAGTGAGGGCTCTGCTCCGGTCTCTAAGGGAGGGAGGGGGAAAGGTAACAGGTTGAATATATGCCCCTCTGTATACTACTGTCAGCTTTTTGACTGATCGTCTATGGTGCTGGACAAGTAAATATTTATTCATAACATCTTGACTGCTGCCAATTCCATTAAAATCTAGACATAGTTTTCTTACTCAAATGCTTGATCTAAAGCTGCTTCGAGAACACTAGATGAGGCACAACATATACATAGTGAGAACCATTGTGCCCAGGTACCTTGCAGGATGTGCATCCTGACCAGCTCTGCTCTTTCTGGACGACTGCGGATCTTGTGCTTGAGGAAATTCTCAGTCTGAAGACAAAGACGGATAATGAACAGTCTGTACTAAAGGCTGATTTTCAAGTCCACATTTAAAACAAACTACTTGACCTACCCTGGCTCTCTCCAAGCTGCGAATCTGCCCATGGAAAGCTGCCGGGCTCTTCAGAGCTGCAACACCGAACGTTTTTCATTAACAGATATTTAGGACAAATGATGTTTATTTAAAAAAAAAATGGGCAAATACATTCATAATCTCATTTATGAGACACTCCGTTTGTTGTCATGTTCCCGCCCATGCTCCATTGTCATCGTGGTGAGTGATGGACACCTGGCCCTGATGGTACTCACGTGGCATGATGCCCTGATCCACCAGCTGCTCCCGGGTTCTTCTTTGCTGAAGCCTCAACTGCAGGACTGAAAACACAAGACAAAAAAAAGTGAGATAAAGAGAGGCATCATGTGTGTTTAATATCCAAGTAGATATAAAAAAAAAAAGGGTCAAACACAAAAAGGGAAGAAAATGAGATGAAACTGAAAAGATAACACTTACTAACCCCATGACACCCATGCAGGAAGTACAGCAAATCTGTTATTACCATATTGGTCCCCTTTTTCATGAAGAGAAAATAACATATTTTGCCAAATTGGTGCACAAAAATACACTAGACTACAAGAATGAATTTCATGGGGGGATGGCCCCCAGACTCCCACAGGGTTAATTTTATTCAAAATCTTTGCTCTAACTGTCAAAATGATCAAATTAGCTTTTATGTTGTAATGATTTTAATTTGAACAGGGGCACATTCATTTGTGTTAAATAAGGGTTTAATGTGAGGTGCACGGTTAGTAAAACTCCTAATGCTGCTGGTTAAAGTGTTGAGCCAGTATGCACGGTACATCTGCACATGTACAAGTTAGGAAAGGTACAATACCATCACCGCCTCTCTCTGAGGAAGAAAAAAAACCCTGTTTGCATATCTACATCCGTGTTTTATACGGTCTATGGGTTTTCAAAGAGAAGTGCATGTTAGTGTGGTAAACTTCTGCACAAAGAAACCTGAAACTCTTTGTTACTTCACTCCTGGAAGTAACTGCTATTTAGAACAATCACACTCCTCCTTTGTTCATAACCTCTAAACTATGGTCTGGAATTTTCCTGGTCTTCTATATACGATGCAACAAGGTTAATGATTGGACCACTGCTGACAGAAAACAAAACACAAGTACAAGGAAATAAAAAAAGAAGCAAAGATGTTTAAAGCGTTGTTTTCATCATGATTACTCAATGTTTCATGATGTTTCATTACTTCTCAAAGCTTCCGTAACTGCAGCATTGTCTGACAACAGTATACACCTACTATAAAAATAAATACAGGGCAGAGGAATGCTCACCTGCTCTGGCCCCGGTGCAGCAGTCATTGAGTGTCTCCACCTCCATACAGGCCATTGTTTGAGACTGACAGAGCAGTCCAACTACAGCGGAGGGATTAAGCCATTTAAACCCAAAGTGTAAACATTTCCTAAGGCCCACAATATGGGTCGTATCCTCTTAGTCCCAGTGCATCGAGGTTAACTCGTTTATAACAAATAACCACAGTGTTGCAGCCCTTCTGTTTATCACGTTTAAGTAGCGTTCAGCCCGGCCCTTTTTACTTCTCCTCTTCTATACAAAAACAACCGGCTCTTCTCTACTCTCACTTCCCCCTGTTACTCAGCCGGTTTGGGATGGATTATTTCATGGCTACAGGCGATCCTCACACTACCAGATGTGGAGGACTACACTGGTTCCATCTAACTGAGTCTGAGTCAGCACTGACTGAAGACAAAGAGTGAAAAACAACTCCATCTTCTAGCTGAAAAGACAATGTTTGCTTTTTGGGATGACACAAGTGTGACATTAACAGGAAGAGGTGAGCATTTCCACAAATCTCACCCAGACCATGAGTAAAAATGCTTCTCTATTCACAGGAAGGGTCACATAAAGATTTACAGTGAAACACAAGCCCTGAGCATCCAACAGGAAACAACTGACCTCATCCACTTCCCACACAGTCTCTCATCTCTTTAGCATTTATTATTGTCACAATATGCTGAGGTTGTAACCTTTAACTGATTGCGTCACCTTGTCGGCTACAGAAAAGTAGATTCCTCCTCCCCCCTCCAAACTATAAAGAAACATTGCTACTTTCACTCCAACTAGGACTGTAAATCATTTACTGATATCCCAACCTAGAGCTCATTTTCACATGAACATTTTGCACAGCGTGATAAGACACTATACTGCACTGATAGATAAACAGCCACGCTACGCTCAGCGAGTTGTTGGAGAAAGATATTCAGTGGAGACATGTTGCTTTAAGGTGATATTTATAGACTTCCAGTCAGTGGAATTGTCCTGAGTTCCTCTGGGAAATGCTACGCAGGCTGACAAACACATGCTGACCTGTGACCTGAGCGGACTGAGCGCAGAGGTGGATGACATGACAGGACTGTTAATGCACACACACATACACACAGTCATCTGGTCAACTGAGGAAAGTGCCTGTTTCTAAAAAGTTAACACTTTAATGTTATCTAGACTTCATACAGGTCTGTTCATATGAAGATGGAGCTGGTTAGCTTAGCTTAGCATAACATCTGGAAACAGAAAGAAACAGGTAACAAAAGCTGCCTACCAATACCTGATATTTGTTTGCTTAATCAGTGCGAAAAACCAAAGTGGAAAATGATCAATGTTTGTAAATACCAAGCAAGCAGTCAAAACTGATAAGATTAATTATTGAAGAAAAAACAAGTTTTGAATACATACAAAGTTTTAATTGACTTAATAAAAGCTGCATTTTAAACATGTCTATAGGGACTTAGTTACTGAACCTTTAGAAAGAAACTTGTTGAGATTAAAAACCTCTTTTTCCAGAGTGTTTTATGGCTAAGACAAGTAGCAGCACAACTTACAGAGATTCACACAAACAACGAGCAGCCACACATACACGTACAAAAAAAACACAAATTACAAATTTAGACAGCAATTGTTTGTCAAGATCATCGAATAAACACATCAGGGAGAAAATCTAGAGCCAGATGTGTCTTCCTCCAAGTAATTACAAATTTAATTATAGACTAAATTCAATATTCATACATTCATTCTGTGTATGCCCCATGACAAGTAGCCAATAATAATTTCAAGATCTTATTTTTACAGCTAAAATTTGGCAATTTATACACCAAGTAATCCACAGTGAACTACATATAATGATAACAGTTTAACCTTTAGTCAGCCAGTGACAAAAAAAGATTGAGTGATTGTGTTTTTCTTCATTTCACAGGGAAGGTCTTACTGGTCACATCATTCCCCGTCCCAACAAACTCACTGTCCTGGGGTCTTGCCTTACCCCCTCCTGACTTCATCCTCCTGGCTCACACAACACAAGTGGTCTTAGCCACTCAGACCTGTCATGCCGGTAGACAGATTAACACCTGGATGTTAAAACTAATACGAGAGGGGAAGATTCTGCGGTTGGCAAAGAGCTGGAGGAAGGCTTTAGCGGGGTTGGAAAGTATGAGGTGCGTGTTCTCAGTGCAGGGGAAATGACAAAAGCCGAGATGATGAGTGGGTGCTACTACTGTTGACATTCCACAAAATGTTCCACCACAGTCAAGAGATTTTACTGCGTTCTCCTGCAGACAGCAGCAGCAGCCACAGAGCACGACAGCTCAAAATCCCACGGCTATCCGAAAACGTGTCTGATCCAGCCTGGCTGCACAGCCCTGCATTTGTTGACTGTATCTGACAAATTAGATTTCTCTAAGCATGTTGATCAATATTGCAGTGATTGCACTGGACTGATCTCCTGTAACCATCTAAGCCATGATTAGGAATTGGCAAAGGCAGCTGTGAATCTAACCCGCTCCTAAAGCCTGATAATCGTGAGCCATCCATCAGTGTCTGAGTCAGTCTCATGCGGCTGCCAGAACAACACAGACATCGTGAGGGTGAGGGAGGCTAACATGCAGGCTGGCTAGCATGATGAGGATAATGTTTGTGTGCGCTGCACAAATGAGAAGCAGGTGGGAGTTTTAGGGGGTGAAGACTTACTTTAACGGCCTATTTTGGGCCATTTTATTGCCTGCGTGCATGTGCCAGTGTACATGAAGGGTGGTAGAGCTTGGCAGGTTGGGTGGTTTCACTTTAGTTATTTAATCCAGGAATCGCCTTTGTCCCCTTTCTATCCACTAATATGCTTTTTTGGGGGAGGGGGTCTTCCATTATGATTTTACACCCAGTCTATTTTGTCAAAACACATGCAGATCATTTTAACATCAATGTCTGATATTTTGCTTTGATTGGTTATTCAAAAAATGGGTATGCAAAAGTATCCTTTAGTTTTATATCTATATAGATAGTAGCATACTGTAGCATTTTGCATGTTTTGAGTGTTCTGGCTTGGCTTGATATTAAACAATAATTCTCCTAATGTAAGTGAACTGTCACAGCAACATGACGGTGACTGTTTGCTATTGACAGGTTTTTATTGAAGGTAAGTGAAAAATATCAGAGTGATCATTCGGACCTTTTAGAAGCTGAGTTCGAGCACACGGATGTGAGCTTTAATGCAAAACAGAGATTAAACTACAAGTCAGTGACTGTGCTTCGTTGCAACCTCGCTGACTCAACTGTGTTGTTCATATATCAGTTATTAGGTAGTTACAGTAGCTAATGTGTAACGCTGTGTGATATGGGGACTAAAAAAGTGTTAAAAAAAAACAGGTTTCTAAAGACATCATAAATATGGGAACATTTAACTAAAACCAGAGCCTTCATTAGTAGCAGTGCTGTTAAAAAATACATTGTCCTTTGGAAATTAGAAGACTGTCACCAACATTATTTCATTCATGACAGTTAATTTGCTTTTTTTAATCAAACCAGTGATATAACTGCTCAATAAACACCATCAGCTTGCGGCAACCTTCTTCTTCCACAGAAATTAATGGGAGCATATCTCCAGTCACTGTTTTAATAATAACTTTATAATAATAATAATAACTTTATTTATATAGCACCTTTTAAAAACACAGGTTTACAAAGTGCTTTGACAAACAGCAAGAACAAAGCAAACTAAACCAAACACAGAAGAACATTAACAACAGATGCAAAATACCAAAAATAATTAAATACAATTCAACAGAAAAGAACCCAAAGTGCACGATACACAACCAGACATATATAACCCGACCATCATAAGAACCATCATAAGAACCGAGGCAACACAAGAACCCAACAACACGAGCTGAGACTTCAAGTAATAAGCAGGCTGATCTTCTCTGCTCTGATATCATCATCACATAACCTAGCAAAGATGTGATATGAGGCTGGTAGTGGGCATCTGTAACAGACTGCTAAGCAGCCTGTTGCTGACGTAAAGCAGTTGTTGTTGCTGCAATCCAGCTCACTGTTCGTGTGTATGTTGAATAAAGCTGAAGCTGTGGCAGGAGAAGTTACACCTCTGTGTACCGTTTATTATTTTCTTACTAAGTATATTCAGTTAGGCAAACCAGGAAAGCTGAGTAACTCATGTAAGGCTAACTGAGTTAACCTATTGTGAAGTAGATTCAAACAACGCGTCCTCGGCCGTGCGAGTAGTGAAACATACATCAAATAATGACATCATCCCTAACACCAGCAGCAGCAGCAGCATGTCCTTACCATTTTTGCGTTCATTGAGTGGAGGCAGCGGCTGCAGGGACAGCTCCTCCATCTCATGGGTCACCGCCTCGCTCTGGGGACTGGGCAGCAGCAGATTCAACATCCCACAATCCCCCTCTATTCCAAGCTGCCCCTGAGAGGCCTGGGGCTCCATGCTGCCTCTGGAGGGGAAACGGGTTTACGGATCAACGTCCCTTTGGTCACGTCTCGCTGCTACCTGCATCAAAATAAAGAAAAGAGAAAGCAGAAGAAGTTAGAGGGAAAGCTAGTGACTGTTTCACTCATTGAACAGAAGTCATAACCATCATCCTGTTGGCATGACTACTTCACCAAAACTGGTAAAATGCTAAGGGTGGCATTTCATTTCAGCCATCTGGAAAAGCTCAGCCCAAATTATTCATTAAAGGAGCGGGGCTGTCCATTATACTGAATAATCACTTCAAACCGCTGCTCATGACAAACAACGCCAGCGTGGGCATAAATGTCCTCTCTGTTCAGACAGGCTTCATGATCAGGAATATGACGTCGCTGTGGCGGTTTTAAAACGGAGGTAACGGAAACATTTTGGGGAGCAAAACAAACAGTTTAGTATCCATGGCTTCCCTACGGTCTCTTAACCAGCAGATGACAGACTGCTGGGTCTCTACATGTGTGCTATTTATCGCTCTCCAGCATCACCACACATCTATCCATTCCAGGACTATTGCGCTCTTTACAGACAGGCTTGATGTGTTGCTTTTGGCTGAGAATCTCTGTGTTCCTATGGCTGCTTTTTATTTCTCCTTGATGGGCCTCTTAAGTGCCAGAGGCATGAAACAGCTCAGAGAGTCTGTGGGACCAAACTGGACTCAGACACATGTGGTTTCAACACGTCCCAATGATGTACATTCTGGTGGCTGCATGCTAAAGACATGAAGCTTTCAAACGAAACAGACCCTTAAGACCATGTTTCATCATCTCTGAGTCTGCAGTTAAAGATCTATAAAACAAGCTCTGTGCCTCACGGTTTCTGCTAATATCTAAATATACACTTGTGCTGCAGATTTTATCTCAGGCTAGTTTTAACCATCATTTTATGTTTATGCCTTTTCTTGCTGCAAGAAGAGTTCTTAAAAAAGTCCCTTTACAATGTCTAGTTCATGTTATTATTTGTGTAACACAGACCAGGTAGTAATGGGAGATCACATTTTTATTCTCTGTGTGTTTCAACCTTTTTTTTAAAATCTCATCTCATTGTATGACTTCTTACATTGTTCTCAAAGTCTTTCTATTTTTATCTTGCATTATTTCCACAGCATCTGCCATGCCTTTTATTTCCACTTCTGTTTTTAAACTTAAGAATAACCACAACGACAAAGATATTTTCTACATCATTATTTAAAGTTTATATATTATTCTCCTTTTCAACAAGTGTAAATAAGTCTCAGAGGTGCCCAAAACATGTGTGTGAAGTTTCTTGTTATAAATCCACTCTGATCATGTCTATAAACCCCTCTTCAGCCCTGCTCAGAACAGGCTGTTTCTGTGTCTGTACCTTTAAATGCAAATGAGCTGTCTCTGACCACGCCCCTGTCAGACTCAGAGGGCAGGAAAAAAAAACCTAGCTGTGGAAGTGCCACCCACCTGGGTGAGGGGAAAAAAAAAAAATCTCCTAACGGCCTGTTTGAGCACACATTTTCTGAAAAGTGGAGCAGGCAAAAGACGGACAGGATGGACTTTGTATTGTCGGGGGTTTGTAGACAGACTAGGGACACGTGTTAGTCACACCATGGTAAAATGTATTTCGCATATGTGACCTTTAAAACTTTAAGTATTTTTCTGCATTGGCAGAAAAGATTTTCATGGTTGCAACCCACATACTCAGCTCTGCTGCTTATCCCACAATGCATGTTGCTTACAAATGTGGCACCATTTAAAAGGGAAACAAACAGGCTTTCCAAAATTAAGATTTATTGCCAATAAGCATTTTTACAACAAAAAAATAATCTACCAAACACAAATTTCCTTACATTTTGTGCGATGTTTAGATGTTTATTAATAAGTTTGACCTGATATAAGTTTTAAGTAAGATAAGAACATCGTACCCTCTAATACAAACAAATATAACACAGCTATGGTACGTTTTGGAGGCTTGGAGTTTTGGGTGCAGATGGGCTGGCGGTTTGGTCACACTTCATGTACAGAGGCTATAGTCCTTAGAAACAAAGTCCGACCTGTGGCTCCTTACCTACATGTCCACACTATCTCTCCCAGATTTCCTACTCTATCCACAAAAAAAAGGCAACAATAAAATGTTTTTGTTTTTTTTTAAGAATCAAGCGAGTTTGATCGTTTTCTTTTGATTTTGGCAGTCAGAAATTTGACATGACACCTCCATCTCTAAGATTTCAATAAGTGCATGTAAAATGAAGAAAATGCTACTTGCAATATTGTGTGCGAGATTCAGCTCAGCCAATCAAACAACAAGAATTAACATGAGAACCAATCCCAGTTCACTTGGCTTTTAGTCGCAGTCTGAACTGGTGCACAGTGAATGTGGCAAACACTACAAAATTACACCACTCTCAAAGTTGGCTTCTGACCCACAACCACTTTCTGGACCCTTAATCATGATTTAGTGCCACTAAATCTCCAAGCTACAGATGCGAGCCAGAGCTTGATGTTTAAAGACTTAACCTCAAGTGTTTCTTTTTTTCTGTCACAGAACTGCAGAAACAGATCTCCAGTAACAGCACATCAACTGTTAAGCCAGTCTCCGCTCTGCAGCATGTAAGCACTTCATAAAGATTTCAATCAGATTGTGCTGTAAAGCCTTTTGTTTCAAATCGTCAGTACCAAAAACAAAGCCGTTAGAAACAGGACTTTACATGAGTTCACTGTGGTCAAGTGCCATTCATCTCGCTGAGGTTGTCTTTCAGTGGGAGTAGGAGGTTGTTTGGCAATGAAATTCAACATCAGCTTGTCAGGTCAGTTTTATTTTAACACAAACTCAAAGTAAAGTTTAAAAAAAAAACTCTCACTTGTGTTTAATATCCATCATACACACTGGAAGACTTTGGAAAATCTTAGAAAATACTTTAAGAAGATTTCCAAAAGGAATTCAAAGGATGCCTAAAGCTGTTTTCACACATGCACAAAACTCCTGAAAATGTCCTGAAATGTTCAGGGTAAGCTGTGTGTGTGAAATACACAGATACCATGTTTAATGCCATGTTTAATGACAACCCCCCTTGTCTGCCCCCCGAAAAAAACACCCACTGTGAGGGACATGTGTACATAAGCAACTCTCTCAAAGCCTGTGACAATTCAAATCCCAAACTCCAAGATTTTTCAGAGACATTTTGAACTTGAAACATCACTTTTAACAAGACCTAGGCCTAGGCAAATTTACAGAAATTATTAACGCACAAACGTTGTGAGTATGGCAATGAGATGGGGATGTTACTCCAACTTACTCTAAACTACAAAGAGAACTAATTTCACCAGTTTTCACGGCTACAGAGATGGTGCTGTTTCCAAACGTTTACACTCAGTTTGGATGAAAACTACACTCCTGGTTAGGTTTAGTTTCTGGCTTAATTCCACTAGAAGGAATACAAACAAGAAGTTTAGTTCATAGGTGCCCTTCTTTGTACAGAGGTTTGCTTTATCTGAAGTTAGCATTAAGAGCTACATGCAACCAGTGAGGCATTTTCTTTCACACTATTACTACAAACTTTCACTGGAGCTAGCTGCTGCTGCATTAGCACCATGTCCCATCAGTGAGCGACCTTCTCCCGATCATGTTGTCCCTCGTGTGTGAAGAGGCTTGTACCTCCAAGGAGTCTCCTCCATGTTTATTATCTGTGTGCCGCTGAATGCTAGAAAGGGTGCACCTACTGAACTTTACTATTTTCATGAACTAAAACTAAATCATCATGTATCACGTTTGATTTTCTTCAGAGCGTCAGGACAAGAAGCAGAGAGACCGCTGAGACAGAGTCTATTGACTATTTTAGATCAAACTGTTGAGATCGCAGGAGTGCACCACAACTCCAGCCACAACAAGTGCTATTACAACATTTGAAAATATCAAACCAACATCAAATCAATTTATCATTCCCTGAAAATGAAGTTTCATGTAGAAATACAAAAACAAAGAAGATAAAAGAGAATGTGATAAAGAAATACATTTTAGAATGACCCTGCGCAACTACATCAATTTTTTTCTGTGTGCTTCACTGTAGATTTGGCTAAGTATCTCGCCCACATACAAAGGCAACTCAGAGGTTTGGTTATAGTTCTATCGTAACAACATTAAGCTAATGAGGTCATGCTTACCTGTAATAGCAGAGGACAGCAAAGGAAAGAGGAATAGATGTCCAGAAGAGTTTCTTCCAAAGTCACGTTAAGCCATCGAGTCAGACCTGTTAGGAGACAAAGAGGCAAACATGAGTATCATGTATTATCAAAGATTTTAAGATTAATTTAATCATAAAAAAACCTTAAAATACATACAAATATAATAAGAGATTCAAGATTTTTCTTTTACAGTATGAGGGTAAACAACACCACAAAAGGAATACATTATTACAAAAATGAATGTGTTTTTATCCAACAAATTAAAATCCATCCAAAAATAATAAATTAAAAACTCATACACACACACAGAGCTCAACCAAACACTGATGTGTCTCTGAAGATACTCGTCTGAAACGAACTGTAGAATCAAAAACAGACCATAGGTACCACTTCAAGATGTGTGAATGAAACTAGCCGACACTTAAATCTGCATCAGGGCCTGAAAATGAATCACAGAGGGTTGCTAGGAAAACCTGCAGCGGTCTCTATGACAATGAAGAGACAATAAAAACTCTGAAGAGCTTTAATGTAGCACCACACTGCAGTCTGAGGGAGAGGCTCTCATTATAAGAGCCATGAAACTGCAGAAACACAAGCTTTAAAGGAGATCTATTATACCCACTCTGATCATTAATTATGTCAGCCTGGAACACTTATCAAGTAGCGTTGTGAGATATGTAGCTCAGAAACCTCTTTATTTATCTTATACTGGCATCAGTAATATCCCTCATTTCATCCTCTGCCTGAATTGGTTCATTTGAGCTTCTGCCTCTTTAAGACCCCCCTCCCACCTTGCCCACTCTCCTCCAATTTCCCAGCTCCGTTTGCAGTCACAGGGAAATTTAAGTGAGCTTCTGGGATTTTTGTCATTGTTTAGTAAGTGGAACAGAACATTTTTCAAATACGAGCCATCATGTCTCAATATGCACCTTTTTAACCCTTTAAGATATGCGTATGTATATCTGTCAGGCTCTTTTTCAGGCAATAATACATGCTTACTGGGGGTGACTAGTGTCTCCTTACAGCTTTCTGGAACAGAGTTAGAGAAAATAAACCTAAAACTCAGATAAAAAGCATGAATAGAAAGCCATAAAAAGAGAAAGAGGACAGAGAGGTGAGGGCAAAAGAAGCACGACGTGCTGCGTGTGTTTATGAGTTGGGGGGGTGCAAAATGAAAGGCAGGAACGCAGCCAGGTGTACAAGCAAGGGGTAGAAGAAGGAACAAACAACTGTCACGGCTGATGAGGCGTTGTGGGATAAACATCGGCGCGGCCCCTGCAGAATCAAAGAGCAGACCCAGATGGCAGGCGCTGTGTGTCGCTCTGCCCTGGACTGCTCTTTTAATGGCACGGGGCAACAAGGACCATGTGTTTCATCAAAGGTCTGATACTGACAGAACTGTGTACACACACACGGTAGCACACCACTAGAGTCAAAGGTGGGGTCGACAGTGGAAAGTAAAAAAGGGTTTTACTGGGGGATCCACAACTCATGCTAAAATGTTTTCCAAGCAGGTTACAACAATGTGTGGCCATGACTATAAAAAGGAGTAGTTCTCTGATCAATCAGATGTACAGTCAGAGTTGCACTATATTATAATGCGACCAGGCAGACAGTGCTGTCTCGTTTTGCCACTGGGTGTTTTTGTTGCTGTTGTTTTTTTTCAAAGCTAGCCCATGCTTTTTGTCCTGTGATAAAAATGTACCCGCCCTGTCACCATAGAAAGAGGGCGGGTGTGGCTCAGTTGGTAGAGCTGTCGCCTCTCAACCGCCAAGTCGAGGGTTCGATCCCCAGCTGAGCAACATGTCCGATGTGTCCTTGGGCAAGACACTTAACCCTGCATTGCTCCTGCTGCTTCGCTGGCGGTGTATGAATGGATTAGTGTTGTACCTACTCTATGATGTATGGATAAAAGCGTCTGCTAAGTTAATTGTCCCATTGTACCAATAATAACAGCAACTGTTTGTCTAACTGGCATTAAAAAGAGAGCTTGGCTAAGTGTTGGTCATAAACTGGTCTGATTTGGAGATTTACAAAAACTGAATGTCCTCCGCAGCCTGAAAAATCCAGAGGTGCTGCGTGACACTTATGCAAAACACTCAACAATCTGACTGACAATGCAATCGCTTGTTCCCTGTGGTGTCACTGGAGGAGCTAAAAATACATCCTCTTTAAGAGACTTCTAAACAAGATATGAAACACCAGTATTATCTCCACCCAACAGACTTCAGTTTGAAGCTCGATTCTCCACATCACAAAAGTGTATTGTGGAGCTCAGTGCAGGGCTCGCAAACCAAAGCTAAATTCACCTAAGAATATATGATCAACTATAACAGAAAAACTGGCACAATGGCAGTATGTGGGTGTGTCTGTCTCCCGAGGCTGTTCTTACTCTCACAGCCTTGTAAAAGCCAAAACGTGTGCAGCGCAGATGAGAAGCTATATGACGTGTTGTAAAAAACATCTTTCTCGATGAGGCGGATGGGCAGAACAAAAAACAGACAACCTCCAATGTCGTTGTGTAATCAAAGCCCTATCAGAAATCAACAATCGTGTTTTTCAGAGTACAAGGTCGATTATTGTGAAGCCATTCAAAGGTTTAAGAATCAAAACAACCACATGGCGATGTATCCATGACAGCAACAAACACAGAGAAGCAACACTTCAAAGTCCTGCATACTGACAAGGAGAGGCCATGGGTCAACTTTACTACAAATAGGCCTGGTTTCAGTAATTTACTGACAGAATTAGATAACTGGAAACTGCCACCTTCTGCAAAGAGCTAATACTCCACGAACAGCCGAGGAGGTCTGGCTTCTGTTACAGGACATAAACATATCACTGACAAGTGTGTATAAAACAGGAGCATGTTGTGATGACGCCCTGACAGAGACCAGTTTCAGAAAGATACCTCCCATCTAGAAGCAACCAAGACTTTGTCAAAAAATCTCATTTAAATGAATAATCTCAGATATTTAAGTTTTCTTGTAACTCCTAGTTGCATAAGCCGTTTCATTCCATAAAACTGACACAGTTAAAAATAAAAATAAAAACACCATACATTAGCAAAAACAAGCACACAGCATGAAAAGCCCACAGGGCCAAGCTAAAGTTTGAGTCTGCAGTATTCTGGGCCTTGAATAGCGCAAGTCTTGTCCAAGAAAAATGTCTTCTTTTATCCAGAGATAAGACAGAAATGATGTCATCGCTGTGGCTCATTCACTAGAGTCTCTGTTCTGCTCTGTTCCCACAGACACACATGTGCTGTCGTTTCCTTCCTGACTTGACTTTGTGGACTGAAAAGATATTCGAAAACAAACGGATCAGACAAACTTGAAAACACCAGGACTCAGGTTCTGAAAGCCAAACGCCATGGGACTGTCACATTTAAAAAGGAAAGGACAATTACTGCAGCTACTTAGCTGAAACTTCAACAACCCTAATGTGAAGGAACAGGGGAGTTGAGAAAGTGCCAACTGCAATGAACCATAATGTAGGCTGGTTATATAAAGACGCTTCGGAGACATGAAAACCCGCATAAACGGCCCAGGGCGACACTCTTTGCTGTGATAAGATGGGTCTCATCTCAGTACTAGTTACTCCATAGAGTTTCTTTTGCCAGTCAAATATTAAATGATTGTTAACATAGTATAAGCTAGTATAAAAGCAGCTGCTTACTCTGTAATATTAAGCTATATTTTCATTTAATTATCCACAGGGAGAGTCAGGGAAACCTTACACTGAAGTCATGCTAGCAGAGAGTCTTTATGCAAACTTATACTGCACTGGGAGGTGGAAAGCAGCACCCCGCGCAGGGATACATGACTTAGAGCCTTAGGATAATTACTTTCTCTTCTGACCCATACGCATTAGTTTTTGTTATCAATTCACACTCCTCCTCTCCTGTGGCAGACTTAAGACTGGATGTGGTCGACCACATCCTGCCCGTCTGTGTGACTCACACAGACCTAAAAACCTGCTTGGCTTTGCTGCAGCAATACCTCACTTTACTCGATAAGATACCATCATCCAGTCTGTGAAAGCCAAAGGGGCCCTCAGTCATTACACAGCGGATTAACACAGAGTGTGTTGTTAGTATGACTTGAGTAAAAGTGCTGCCAACTCAAAGCCAAAGATACTTTATGCCATGCCTCAGCATATTTTACAGATAACATTATAGCTCGAGGGTCAACATATGAAATAAACATATAGTACACTAAACACTTTTATCCCTGCACTCATGTTCACTTAATTTGTCTGTCTATTCGCCCTTATATTGAATAGTTTCTGCTTATCATGTCTACACTCATGCACTTTAACTTATATCAATACTGTCCATTTACAACTCTGTTTTTGCACATTTACATTCAATCTTTCATATTTTAGACTAGTAATGCTTAGTTAAATCCTGGTTGTATATATTCTCATTCTTAGTTTTGATATTTATAGTGGTTATTTACTTTGTATTTAATATTATGTTGTGTTTAGATTTGCTAATATTGTGTGTTTTGCTCATATTGTGTGTTTGGATAACCTGCTGCTGTAACGCCACAATTTCCCAGTTTGGGATCAATAAAGCAATTCTATTCTATTCTATAAGTAAAATGTATGTGACAACTAGCTGGTTTAAACAGCACTCAGGTTTGAGTGGGACGCATTAATCTCTGTCTGCCAGTCGGCTTCACTTAAAGCTACTTTTTATCTCAGTGTTGGAGGGGGGTGAGGGGGGGTTGGGGGGTTAAGCTAACGTTAGCTGGTTACTTTAAATCTGACAGGTGAGGGAGTTGCAGTCAGTGCCAACCACTGAAGACATAGACGCTTCTTCTGTGGCAATTATTCTATTGAAGGACGAGAAAACACGTCTCTTGACTCGTGTATGTCCATGCTCTGTTGTGTGTTCTTACCTTAGCCTCGTCTGCATATCACGGACGCACCTCAACAACAACCTCCTCACAGTTTCGCTAGTTAGCGCGGTTTAGCTAACACAAGGCTTAGCATGCTAAAAACAAAGACAGTGTGGTCTTACCGAAGTGCGGAGACTTGAAACCCCAAACTGCTTCACAACAAGATATCCATTAATGTCAGCGGGGATATGTGTCCGTGATGTGTTTTCCTCCCAGCTGTGAGATTGAAGTTTATTTCGCGGAGTAAAATGGCTGCGACTGGTCTATGCTTCGGATGCAGAGTGACGTGATGACGCTGTCGGACAGGAACTGTTGGGGGGCGTGGTGCAGGGCAGGGTTCACTATCCTCTCCACCGGTCAGCATGTCGTTTATGAGACATCCATGTGTCTGACCCAACAGTGTTTCTAGTAGGCTGTATCACATGAAAACAGCTAAACGGATCCCCCCATTGTAAACTATTATTTTTTTTATAGGATCCACATCTCATGTCCTTTCTCACTGTGCTTTGCCAGAGTTACATAACAGCCACAGTGAAGCTAAAAGAGAGTATCAGCCATCCTTATTCAACATTTGTTTAAGGATTGTGCCAAAAAGCAGAACATCTTTATTATTTTAAACTTACTGAACAACCACACAGAATTCAGACTAATGAATCCTATTTTTTGTTGTCAGAGTTTAAGTTGCTTATTCCTCACTCAACATAAATAAATTATACTCTGCTTTCCATAAATTAAGTGTTGTTCTCGTCACTGTGTAATAATAATCATTTTGTCATAATTAATGATAAAATAAGCTGGCTTAGAGCTACATCGTTTTTGATATTATTTTCACATTTATAATTGAATTTTGGTTCGATCCTTTTCTTTAAGTACTTCATAATATTCCAGATTCCCTTGCGATCCATTTTAAAAGGCACAAAAGAATTGATTTTAAAGAAATATTTTTTAAGAGTGCGCTGTATCCTTTAGAAGTTTTTAAAGACAAACAATGTTGTTTTAAAAAAAGCTTTAATTTGAGACAAACGGCATGAAAAACATCAGTAAAAGGCATTCAATGAATTTAGTTTATTTGTTCTGTCCTATTGTCCTATCTGTCCTAGTGAGAATTTAAAAATATTTATTTAATTATTTTATATATTCTGCAAAGCTATCTTTTTTATTTCTTAATCCGACTTGCTACGTGCACACACACACTAGAAAAACCTCCAATTATTTCAATTCATTCTGTACATCTATTTGTACACTTTGAAGGCTCTCACTGCACCATCCTGAATTACAATATGAAACATACATAAATACAAAAAGATGTTTGAATAAATATGAAGTCAGTGGCTTTACCATCTCTTATCGTTGTTTGGCCTTCTGCACAGGCGCAGGCACATCAGCGTTATTATGCAGAAACTCATACAGCATCTTGGCACTGTTAGCGTTCTCCAGTATTTCTGCGAGCTTGTCCTGGCTGATTTTGGCTAAATCTGCCAGACTGTCTGCATTTTTAATTAGAGCCCTGCAGTTTTTTGTATTGACCCCGGGCATCTTCAGCAGGAAGTCATAAGGTCCAGGGTTGTAGAGTTCTGCTGATTCAGTCACCATGTCTGACTCGGCTGTGACGGCCTGAGCGGCTGCAGCGTCGGGCTCAGAGCGGCCCAGCTTCAGCTCCAGGAAGAGGTCGGCTGTGGCGTGCGGGGAGGGGCACCAGAGGATGCGAAGCCGAGGGAAGTGCAGGGTTAGCAGGGTGAGTTTTGAAGAAATATCATTAGAAGATATCTCGTGCCTGAAATCTGATCGGGCCATCAAGGAAAAGGGTTTGGCCGGGTCAAACTCGATGAGCAGCACTGGTTTCCTGTAGTAGCGAGTCATAGAGAGACACTGGGTGTAAAGGCGACCACTCTGTAGCGAGCCAATTAGATCACTGACGCTCTTGCGCTCGACACACGTCTCCGGGGTCAGGATGTAGTCGCCTACTTCCAGGGTGACGGGCTCAATGTCCAACCCACGACGGTGCAACAAGGAGGGCAGCTCACTGCGGAACTCACGCATGTCCACGATGACTCGAGAAGGCTCTTTGGGCTGCTCCTGGCCGCCTGGTTATGGGACAGGAAAACAACAAGACACTTTTTTAAGAAAACTTTAGACTTTTTCACAAAGTGTAAATTCAGACAACAAAAACAAGGAAAAAAGGTTCAAGCTCTATCAATGATGATTGAAATGAACATGCCTGCTCTGCAGGTGTTGGTGGTGGCATTGGCAGGCTCTAAATTTCTTGCAAGGTCCAGGTTGGTGTCTTCTCGCCCCTCCCTCTCCTCTGGGATGACCATTGTAGCCTTCTCCCTGCAGAGAAAACGATAAAAACATCACTTCACAGTCAGCATGCATGCAGTGATATTTTCTCACTTATAAATATTGCTTTACGACCCGGTCACACGCGACAGTGAGCACAGTAAATCCCACTAATTTGAAAAAGACAGTCACAGCTTTGGACAGACATTTCTTTCATTTCCACTATTGGTATATCATAACTAAGAACAACATTTTTAACATTGACAGTAACCAAACCTAGGCACAGAACAAAATATAGTCAAAAGGTGTTGCCTGTGGCGCAGGTGGCCTAGTGGTTAGTACATATACCCCATGTACAGAGGCTGTAGCCCTCAAAGCGGGCTCCTTTCCGGCATGTCATCTCCCAATTTTGGACACGATCCACTGTCCTGTATTTACAATAAAGGCATAAAAAGCCCTAACATAAACCTTTAAAAAAAAATAGTGCTGCCCCTGAGATGCCAACAACACCAGCACATATCAGAGACTGAAACATCCTTTAAAATAGTTCATACATTAGTTAAAAACCAACCAGTCATGTCCTAATTCATCTGTTTCCTCCTCTGGTGCCTGTTCCAGGGGGCTTCTGGCTCATCCTGCATTTTTACCAGCTTATCATATGTGGGTCTGTTATTTGTGATGTAACCAATGATCCTGCTTTCTGTGTGAAAAAACTGTTTTTTCTGTGTGCTGTCTGGTGGACTGTCCTGTTTTTATAAGTTATACGTTTATAAGTGCCTTGGGACTACAGATTACATTTAGCTAATGCTGCTAATACCGCATAGCGTATTAGTGATATGTTGATTAATGTGCACGCTCCTTAATTCAATGAATCAAATAAATAAAAGCAATAGAGAGACTACACGTCAAAAATAAGAAAATCTATGTTGTACTGTATCTGTAAAAAATCTAAGACCAACTGATAGAACATTTTTAGGAAGAAAACAACCAAACACACATTACCATATACTCCATAAGTGAATACAATGTAATCAATTGGAATGAATTTGTGTGACCTGATCAGGTGCTCAAAGGCTTTCTTTTCTTTAGACAGCGTCGTCAGGTACTTCTGTTCTTCCGTCGAGCCTCCATAAATGAGGAAATACACTCGCAGAGGCTTTCCCGGCCGGCACGCTCTATAAATCTCCAGCTGGCGGACGAAACTGAGTTCAGCGTCGTACAGCACCACGAAGCTGGGCTCCACCTCATGCAGCACCCGCGTCAGGCTGTGGGGGTCGGTGAGGCCCTTCAGCGGGTGGATGACGGTCAGCGGCTCCTTTAGGAGACCGTAGTAGGCGTCCGATGACAGATCCAGCTGCAGCTGTTCTTCGTCCTCTTCCTCCTCCTCATCGTCTCCGCTGCTGCCCATCACCGCCGCTTCGCCCGCCTCCTCTTTCCCCACCATCTGGGTCAGGGTCAGGGATGGCCTCTTTTTACTCTTTGCTGACTTTGAGTTATGTTTCCGTGCAGGCTCCTTGCCCTTGGCTCCTTTTTTTGGCCAGCCGTTCCCCTTCTTGTGCGTGTCAAGGTCAAGAGCAGCGGCAGCAGCAGACTCCCGCTTACCGACTGTGCGGGTATAAAGTCGGTTGAGCAGCCAGTCGGAGCCGTGCCTGATGCACTGCTGCAGCTGGGCACAAGTCCTGTCATCACTGGCACAGATCAGCACACGACCTGAAGGGGACATGTGGAAAAACTTAGACTGATTAACACACAACATGGTTCTTCTAAATTATAGTAAATAAAATATAAACTGCAGGAACACCTTGCTGACAGTACAGTGGTGTCTGATTAACATTAACAATGCTACACTTGATTTACTATTATTAATGTTACTAACATAACATAGCTGTCTGTGTAGGTTCTCAGTGATACAGGTCATGGTAAATTCAAAGCCTGATCCAAATGCAACTGGACTTGGTTGAAGATCTTGAAGACGTTTCACCTCTCCTCTGTAAGGCTTCTTCAGTTTTAAACTAACGTGTGGAAGATCTGCTATAGCATGCTAATGATCCACAGAGGCTAACATTTGTAGCTCCGTCCACCAGTTGGTGGACCTGAAGAAGGCCTCTGCTGTGCAGCAGTAGCACCTGAATTTCCAAGCACAGTATGCAGTATTCAGACTGATTCTACATTTTAAATGCAGTTCAATTTTAACCTTCTTTTAATGTTTTTCTATGTAAGTTCAATGAAGACAGCAAACATCACATTTAGACCAAAGTTTGTTATGATAGTTGAATACAGCCTCATATGTTCAGTAGGGGTGACATTTACTGTTGACATGATGGACCCTCATAACGCTTTAAAATAAAATGAGCTCTAACCTGGCTCATGTTGAGAGCACTTGTTCTCCCTCTCGATCTCCTGCAGTACCTCGGTAAGAGCCGCCCACTTTGGGCTCTTCTCCAGCACCAGCTCCCGCTTCACCTCTGAAACACACACACACACACACACACACACACACACACACACACACACACACACACACACACACACACACACACACACACACACACACACACACACACACACACACACACACACACACACACACACACACACACACACACTGAGCCTTTAGTGGATTTTTAACACGAGTGCACATACAAAGTAAACATGCTGATATCTGCTCTGAAGAACAGAGCTCTCAGAGATCTGATCTTTGCTCTGTTACCTGTGGTCGACGATGACTTTTGTTTCTCGGCCTCCGCTCCCACTTTGAGTTTCTTTTTGCTCTCAGGGAAGTGATACACTCGACCTCTGGAATTCATAAACATAGAGGTGCTGGAGTCGAGGAACAGCCACCCTGATGGTTACAGCAATGGATAAAAACAAAGATCAGACATGTACAGAGATGATTTATCAGATGACACACGGTAACATCTTGTTCCCTTGAGCACTTCCAGAAGATCAGCACGTAAAGTTTACCTGAATTGGATCCAAAGATCTTTT